TGTATGAACATAGATCAGGTAAAAAAATCCTCTTTTTAGATTTCAAATAAAACATAAACTCAAATTATAATAGTCATGGCATCAGCCTAAGCTTCCGTGAAATTACAATTCTTGAAACATATTGAGTTGTTTTTTTATTTACTGCTGTCAAGGTGTTTCCTATTCTAGTATAGACACAAATCGTGTCTCCCTGCACAAACACAAGATGGCAGCAATGGTTGAATCAGTGTTCAATGTCTAAATTGCCACTACAAGTGTCCTATGATCTCACCTCCTGCCTTGATGAAGTGCTTGGCTCCAGGGAATGATTTCGCAGATGATGTGAGAGTAGATCTGTACATGTTGCAGTTTCCACCAAGGTAGGTGACAGCAGCACAGAGTCCGTCCTGGGCACAGAGACCAGCACAGGTCCTTTCATCAAGAGATGTCTGTATGCTGGAGGGATGTTCCCGAGCCTGTAAACCTTCCAGTGTTATTTGTCTCTCAAAACGGTGCCTGAAATCGCCGTTTCCTGCATACGCGACTGGGATGAAGACAATGACCAGACACAGCACAGCGTTCATCTTGCTTCAGTGTAACGCGACAGTTACTGCAGTGTGTTTTGACATCTGTTACCAATGTAATTAGATGTATACTATATTATTCAGGTTAATTCAGTACAACCGTGTTGTTTTCTCCAAATATCATGTTCCAAAGACAATCTTGAAATGTTAATGTGGTCACAGTGGATTTATTCAAAAGACATCGATTGGACAACGAATGTTTATTATTTTGTATCACTACCGTGAAATAAACCTTCAATCAACTATGAGAAAATATTATAGATTTAATCCATCATTATCAACGGTCTGTTCCACATCCATTCATTTTACCGTTCAATAAGGAACATTTTCGACTTTGCTGACCAATTTCGACTTGTATACTTAACTATTTGTTACTCTGTAATAAAATATTGTCAAATGAAACATTTTGGGGTAAAGACCATCTTTTGTTTGCGCTGTGGTATAACTTATGTCATGTACTATTCATTATCAGAAAAGACAGTGAACTTTGAATCTCGACTTCTATTCTTTCAATCCGACATTTCGTTGAGATCGTCTCATTCGTCCAGCTCTCTTTGATAAGGACAGGTTTGGCAACATGTTGTTCTTCGTATCAATTACAAAGAGTGGAGGATATTGTCTGACAAGTAGAGATTGCTGCAGTGCATCAATTGTTACCCGCCATATGATGTCAAATGCAGGGGAAGGTGAGGTGAGGTGAAATTGGGTTTAACGTCGTGTCCAAGATTATTGCACTTATATAGCGACGTGCATGCACGTGTGTGTGTGAGGCTGCTTGTACTAGTCCGGACTGATGCCGATTTATAGTGCTAGCTCACTGAGATACCATGCCGCAGTTAACATGAATATCCCACTCAGACACAGTATACTGACTCCGAGCCGACCAGTCCTTGTTTTAGCCCCTTAATGTCGAGCGCCAGACAGGGTAACAACAAGTACCATCTTTTAACGTCTTTGGGTATGACGCGGCCGGGGATCGAACTCCGGACCTTCCGCTCTCCGGCCGGAAGCTCTACCACTAGACCACGGAGGCGGCATGCAGGGTAAGGAAGTGTAAGCAAGGGGAGGAGGGGATTGGTTTAAAGTACAAATTTGTTGTTGTTAAAGTAGCTAGCTTTGGAAAGCACAATAAAAGAAATAGTACCTTTTAACGTTCAGCACAAGGAAAACCAAGGCAAGAAAACACATAACTGGGCCTGACAGGCAGAACTTGGTGTATACCCACTATTGGCACCAATAATATTCAAAATAATTGATTACATGTCCTATATAGATAACACAACACATGCCATTCTTCAACATGCTTTGGCAGCAAATATCAATATTTCTCGTCAAAATGTTGGCTGTGTTAAATATAACAAACTTTTCAAATAGTAAACACAAATAAATGTAATGAATCCAGTGTAAATAAAGTTTAGTCCAAATGTAAAAAATATGTTCACGCATTCATTACGGGATTCCCATTTATCCAACAGCAAGTTAAGAACACACACTCTCTCTCTCTCTCTCTCTCTCTCTCTCTCTCTCTCTCTCTCTCTCTCTCTCTCTCTCTCATTTCTCAAAACTTCGTTTAAACAATCACAAACTAAAAATTAAAAATGGTAGATATACAAAATCACCAACCCCAATAGAACAACGTCTCTGTGGAACATGTGATGTTTTAGAAAATGAGCAACATTAGGCACAACCAAGAAAGAGAATCACAAATAATCCTCAAACATTATTAAGAATAACATACGATACATTGCAAAGGTAGTGTGCAATAGAGCTATTAGGGTAAGGGAGATTAGCACTCACTCTTAGTGATACAGCTTGAATAGGATACGATGTACAGCATTACAAGGTCAGTGTGTGATAAAGCTCTATACTTTGCCTGTATCTAAAGGAGATAATCGGTCAATGCGCAAGTTTATTCTTACAAACTATAGACTGGTTAACTTTATTAGAAGGAGATATATCTCCACTACACATGTTTATTTCTTTTAAAACACAATGAAAACATTGCATGGATTATCTACATTACGAAACATGACTAAGTCACAAAATGTGACAGGCGATTGGTTAAAACGTCCAGACTAAGTCACTCTCATTTCATTTTAAAAACTCCAATATTTTTAGAGAAACCAAAATGGCGCTCTCCTTCAGTCAAAAACAAACAAACCCTTATACTTCCCCGCCTTCGGGGCTGGGAAGAATAAATCAGCAGTAGAAACATTTAAAGTGTACTTTTATGCATACTTTTATTATCGTATTTGTACAAGTTTCTGATACCTACTGTACATGTTAGAAATTTCAATAAAATATTAGAAGTTCACGAGACACAGTGGGTATTTGTATCGTGTTTGGTAAGGTTTCACACACATACAGTACATGTTTTCACTTATCCTCCCAAACTGGCTTCCACATGAAATATTGCTTCAATGAAATTGAGACACAATGCTTTTCAGACCATTGTGACGTCATCGGTTACCCTCACTTTGAAGAATGATATTGGGATGATAAATAGAATCTCACCCTCTTTACTCGTGATATCAAATATATCAACTCAAGACGATACAAGTTTTCAACTTTTAAAGTTCTTACAGTTTACATCAAAAGACACTCGTGTGAGATTTTCATGATTTTGTAGTTCGTTGACCAACTGCGTTCAGAATCATATGGTTGTCTCATGGCACGTCAGAAGTGTGTGTCATTCCAACATGTATGATAAAATGGGTTACCCTTCAAAAATCGATCGCCGGCAAAGAGATAAAATGTGTGTATTTATTAAAATGTTCTATAGCAGAACGCCCTAGTACTTATAAGATCTTATACCATAAAATACATTTGTCAGTTTCCACAAAATCCTCCATTTACTGAATCATTATCACCATTCAAAAACCCGAATGAAAAATTGATTAAGAGTAACAGAACAAAGCAGGTAATTCAGAGTACATTTATAGTTATATATTGTATTGATCAACATGGACATATGGTTGACTGGTTCATTGTAAACGATTCTAGTTTTAGTTGTGTCCATTATTACGAAGCGAATGTTCTTTGGGTTTTTTCGATGTGAAAAGTAGTATCGACCTCAGATCAAAGAGTTTCGATTATGTTAAAAGGGGTTTGATAATAAAACTGTAGTGTTTCGAAAAACAGATATGTCACATTAATTGTTTATCGTAATTAAAACGCTGTGGGACAATAAATCTTTGGGGGTGCAACGAGCAGTTTATTTGTATTTAAAAGTAATCAGTATTATGGGCATCTGCTTTAAGGATTCTAATAATATGTACAAGATTTAAAATGTCTGACAAATCCATTTTATGAAATGCGGGGTTAATGTTGGTATCTTTCACAAATATTAAATCGATCATCTGTACCTTTTCTCCAAATACTGGCTGTCATATCTTGCCCACTTTTGCTTGCGATCGTTCAGCCATTGCGTTCATCTAAGTTGCCCAGGTTCATCTATGGGGAACAACTCACTAGATCCTTCCCTCTCAAAATTAACGCCATCACGTTTCGAGCACGTATTCGAATCTCCAGAAATGACGTCATAGTAGAACAATGTTTTATTGTAAAATAAAACACGTTACGTTCTTCATTGTTCTTTGCGATTTATCATGTAGCTATCCTATATTAACCATTAAATGACAATAAGAATTTTTTTACATTAGATATACATGGACATGACATTGTACTCTTTATCATCCACTGTGTGGTGCATTGGTGTAACCTAGTGGTTAAACCATTCGCTCATCCCGCCTAAGATTAAGGATCAATTCCCCACGTGGATACAATGAGACCTGAACACATTGGACTAGCCTAGTGTTTACAAAATTAGACCAATATGATGTGAAATTTTTGCTTTTAAGTGAGGAGAGACGGAAGGTGATTGACCCGATCCCCGGCCGCATAAAACCAAAAAACGTCAAAGGACGGTACTTGTTGCTACCCTGCACGACGTTGCGCATTAAGCGCATAAAACAAGGAGTGGTCGGCTCGGAGCATACTTTATCTGAGTGAGGTATCCATGTTAAGCTGTGGGCTAGCACTATAAAATCGGGTATAAGTATTTTCTACCTCAGGTTTGTCTGGTCCAGATTCGAATGCATATGTCTCTCATTAAACGACAACCAACTGGACCTTTTGACACTGTAACAACCTCGTTAATTCAAAGATGCGATTTAGAATTGGTCTACTGCAACCTACGGAAGAGGCAACTATGCATGTATTAGAGAAGCTACGAACGGGATCAGGTGATCAGGCTCGCTGACTTTGTTGATGCATGCCATCGTATCCTATTTGCGTAGATCGATGCTCATAGGGCTTAATCACTAGATTGTCTGGTCCAGATTCGACTGTTGGCAGATCACCATCTCATAGCTGGAATATTTCTGAATGCTGTGTTAAAGAACAAACAATCAAACAAAACTAATTCAAAGTCCTCAGGACCTTTGAAACTAACGAGTCAACCTTGATTGAAGTCAGTATAAGGCAATATTTCTTTTGGCATCATGTCGACATGATGACGCTATTCAAAGTAAACAATATATGGATTTACTGATGCCGGTGTATATACATATTTTATTTTAAATTATCCAAACAATGCGTAATTGGAGGTTTTTGATACACTTTGCAGATTTCCCGATAGCCATTATGTCAAGTTTCATTTCATTTAAAGCACAGACGGCATTACTAGTTGCAACAAATAGTTCAGAGCTCCGTTTAAGAATATCCGATTGTTTTGAGAAAGTACACAATACATTTATTGGGGAAATGTCATTTGTATATGTCACTGTGATAGTTGTTTGAAATCTTGAGTGGATTGTGTCTCATTCACTCATGTACTGCCCAAACTCGATTATTTACAGTCCAATCAGATAAAACAGCATTGTTCCATAAAATGTGGCGTAGAACATCATTCACTCTATTCCTCACTTTTAGTCGAACGGGTTTCCATACTGTTCCTGTAGTGAGGCTTTGGTGTAAAACACGATAACATAAGTAATGTATATGACACACGTTCTTGATTGGAAAAATGCTGATTTTAGTTTATGTAATGATGTTGTTGCATACATATTTACAGCCATGTATGTACATACTTTTTAAATTTTGTAATGGACATCATCACATAAACTGAATCTTCACTCCAGTGGTCATAAAAAACTCTCTTTCCAGAACTTCCCACACCAACAATTTGTGAATAAAACTAAATAATCCGGCAATACTCTACGAAAACCGACGACATTACTGCATCTCTCAGCATCAGGTTGGTATTTTCCAGTCTCATATATGGTTCAATATGATTTCTCACTGCTCTCATTGCTATCTCTGATTTTATAGAGGTATCTCACAGACAGCTGCGCGATTCTCACTGCATGTTCTGTCGGACATTCCAACATTGGTCAAACGTACACAGTTCTGAAAGCTTACGTTGTCAGGTTCGCCAGGTGCCCACTTCCAGACATAAGTTGAACCGTCCTTCCAGGTAAAGACATTGTTGACTTGCTGCATTCCAACCCAGAGAGAGTCTGACACATCCGCTGCCAAGAGAAAACTCAGTAAACTTATGAGCCACCCATGGCATCAACCACTCATTTACAAGAGACCCGAATATTGTTATATAAAAATGGTCTTGGTATAGCACTGTCTTTTAATAAAAGAGACCGCGAGTCTGTTATGAGGTTAATACTTTACTATAGAAGGACAGAACTTACTGACGCTCCTCTGATATGAGACATTTTAGCTACAGGACACTGTACAATGTATATATTGAATCTCATTCTGTGTTCATAGGTATTCTACAGCAGGTCACAAGGTACAAACGGGCACCATATACTGACCCTGACTCTGGAATGAGGTCATGAACTCCTGTTTCTCCTGACTGTTGAGGACGACAAGGCGACCACCTTCAGAATGGCACAGATCATTTTGAGAAGTCCAGTTGTTGGAGATTGATATCAACTTGTAACACATCCGGGGAGACAACACGGACGTGTAGCCCCTGGATACATGACATGGGTCTGGATCAGGAAGCGCTGAAAGTGAATAACCCCGTTTCTCTATCATCTTCGTTTTCATTTTGCAAAAGGCATCTCAATGTGTAACAGAACATGTTGGAAGTTGGTTAACAGTCTCCGGAATGTGGTGAGTATTTCAGTTAAATAACGGCTTTTCAACTGTGAGGAAGTGACGTAAGTCAGAGACGTTCAGACAATTAAGCTAATGGTACTGACAAATCTAATTGCATTATCAGACGAATCTATGTTTTTGAAACCATGATCATTCATATTTGTCATGTACCACACAATGGGTGAGTGAGTGAGTGAGTATGGTTTAACGCCACTTCTAGCAATATCACGATGAGGGACACCGGAAAATTGGCTGCACACATTGTACCCATTTGGGGAATCCAACTAGGGTCTTTAGGCATGACGAGCCAAAGCTTTAACCAGTAGGCTACCCAACCGCCCCCATGTACCACACAGCGAATATTCTACCACCTTTGACGACTGGTCAACTCCTCCCTATTTCCAGAAGGTACTGATGATGATTGTCCTACATTGCTGCAATTGTCCGATATACCCCGATCGAACACTAACTAGTCATGTCTAGACCCAGCAAAGCAGTCACTGACAAAATGACAAATGATCCCCGCCATACGGGAAACGATGCCATGACTAAAGTGACCACATGAACCAGTTTAGTCGCCTCCAGCTGACCAGCAATCTTGTGTTCTGACCTGATACCCAAAGGGGTCACAATTGAAAAATATACATTGCAGTAGTTAAATCACAATGGTTATGGTTATTTTCACCATTTATCATTTTACCTGATGATACTACAGCAGTCACAACGTTCATGCTGTATGAACATAGATCAGGTAAAAAATTGCTCTTTCGATATTTCAAATAAAACATAAACTCAAATTATAATAGTCATGGAATCAGCCTAAGCTTCCGTGAAATTACAATTCTTGAAACATATTGAGTTGTTTTTTTATTTACTTCTGTCAAGGTGTTTCCTATTCTAGTATAGACACAAATTGTGTCTCCCTGCACAAACACAAGATGGCAGCAATGGTTGAATCAGTGTTCAATGTCTAAATTGCCACTACAAGTGTCCTATGATCTCACCTCCTGCCTTGATGAATTGCTTGGCTCTAGGGAATGATTTCGCAGATGACGTGAGAGTAGATCTGTACATGTTGCAGTTTCCACCAAGGTAGGTGACAGCAGCACAGAGTCCGTCCTGGGCACAGAGACCAGCACAGGTCCTTTCATCAAGGGATGTCTGTATGCTGGAGGGATGTTCCCGTGCCTGTAAACCTTCCAGTGTTATTTGTCTCTCAAAACGATGCCTGAAATCGCCGTTTCCTGCATACGCGACTGGGATGAAGACAATGACCAGACACAACACAGCGTTCATCTTGCTTCAGTGTAACACGACATGTACTGCAGTGTGTTATGACATCTGTTACCAATGTAATTAGATGTATACTATATTATTCAGGTTCTTTCACAGTGCAACGGGGATGTTTTCTCCAAATATCATGTTCCAAAGACAATCTTGAAATGTTAATGCGGTCACAGTGGATTTATTCAAAAGACATCGATTGGACAACGAATGTTTATTATTTTGTATCACTACCGTGAAATAAATGTTCAATCAGCTGTAAGAAAATATTATAGATTTAATCCAGGTTGGTCAATAGAGGCAGGTATTACTCTAAAAACTAATTCAATCTGGTCTCCTCATTATCAACGGTCTGTTCAACATCCATTCCTTTTACCGTTAAATAAAGAATATTTTCGAGTTTGTTAACCAATTTCGACTCGTATACTTAACGACCCGTGCAGATTCGGGGTAGAATAGATCTTCAGAATAAGTAACAGACAGTTAATAATGAGGCACCCTAACTTAACTAGTTTGCATACAATTTCCAGACGGCGCTTATAGTTTAAAGAAAGTTTAATTCAAAGGTAGTGATACATAGAGAATCTCACCCAAGTGTCTTTTGATATCAAATATATAAATGAGTGTTGATATTTTTTATGTCAAAAGACACGAGGGTGAGATTTTATTTATCATCCAACAGCATTCTTCCACCTTTTTCAGTTTGTATACGACCCGTGAAGATTCCAGGGTAGAATAGGTCTTCAGCAACCCATGCTTGCCGTAAAAAGTGACTATGCTTGTTGTAAGAGGCGACTAGCGGGATCCCGTGGTCAGGCTTACTGACTTGGTTGATACATGTCATCGATCCCGATGCGCATGATATTAATCACTGGATTGTCTGGTCAAGACTCGTTTATTTACAGACCGCTGGAATATTGCTGAGTGCGGCGTAAAACAACAAACCAACCAGCCAACCATCATATACTTAACTATATGTTACTCCTTAATTAGAGGAGGTCACATTTCTCAAAACTTCGCTTAAATAATAACAAACTAAAAATTAAAAATGGTAAATACACAAAATCACCAACCCCATAAAACTTGGAGGACGCAACGAGTCGTTTATTTCGTATTTGAAATATCAGTATTATGTACATCTTCTTTAAGGATTCTAATAAAATGTACAAGATTTAAAATATTTACCCGTATCTAATTAATGATGGCTCCCTGCATAAAATCCGACCGCGGCAATGTAGCACAAGTCTATTAAGTCGTGTATCTGTACTTTTTCTCCAAATAGCGGCTGTCATATCTTGTCCACTTTTGCATGCGCTCGTTCGGCCATTGCGTTCATCTAAGTTGCCCAGGAACATCTATGGGGAACAACTTACTAGATCCTTTCCTCTCAAAATTAACGCCATCACGTTTCGAGCACATATTCGAATCTCCAGAAATGACGTCATAATGGAACAATATTTTATCGTAAAATATAACACACTTCGTTCTTCGTTGTTCTTTGCGATTTATCATGTAGTTATCTTATATAAACCATTCAATGACAATAAGAATTTTTTTACATTAAATATACATAGATATGACATTGAACTCTTTATCATCAACTGTGTGGTGCATTGGTGTAACTTCGTGGTTAAACTATTTGCTCATCCCGCCTGAGATCCAGGATGAATTCCCCTCGTGTTTACAAAATTAGACCAACATGATGTAAAATATTTGCTTTTAAGTGAGGAGAGACGGAAGGTGAGTGACCCGATATCTGGCCGCATGAAACCAAAAAAACGTCAAAGGATGGTACTTGTTGCTACCCTGCATGACGTTAGGCATTAAGCGCATAAAACAAGGACTGGTCGGCTCGGAGCATACTTTATCTGAGTGAGGTATCCATGTTAAACTGTGGGCTAGCACTATAAAATCGGGTATTAGCATTTTCTACCTCTGGTTTGTCTGGTCCAGATTGGAATGCATATGTCTCTCATTAAACGACAACCAACTGGACCTTTTGACACTGTAACAACCTCATTAATTCAAAGATGCGATTTAGAATTGGTCTACTGCAACCTACGGAAGAGGCAACTATGCTTGTATTAGAGAAGCTACGAACGGGATCAGGTAATCAGGTTCGCTGACTTTGTTGATGCATGCCATCGTATCCTATTTGGGTGGATCGATGCTCATGGGGGTTAATCACTAGATTGTCTGGTCCAGATTCGATTGTTGGCGGGATCACCATCTCATAGCTGGAATATTTCTGAATGCTGTGTTAAAGAACAAACAATCAAATAAAAATAGTCAAAGTCCTCAGGACCTTTGAAACTATAGAGTCAACCTTGATTGAACTCTGTATAAGGCAATATTTCTTTTGGCATTAAACGTAAACAATATATGGATTTACTGATGCCAGTGTATATACATATTTTATTTTCAATTATCTTAACAATGCGTATTGGACATTTTTGACATACTTCGCAGATTTTCCGATAGCCATTATGTCAAGTTTCATTTCATTTAAAGCACAAACGTCATTACTAGATGTAACAAATCGCTCACAGCTCCGTTTAGGAATATCCGATTGTTTTGAGAAAGTACACAATACATTTATTGGGGAAATGTCATTTGTATATGTCACTGTGATGGTTGGTTGAAATCTTGAGTGGATTGTGGCTCATTTACTCATGCACTGCCCAAACTCGATTATTTACAGTCCAATGAGATAAAGCAGCATTGTTCCATAAAATGTGGCGTAAAACATCATTCAGTCTATTTCTCACTTTTAGTAGAACGGGTTTCCATTCTAGATCTGTTCCTGTAGTGAGGCTTTGGTGTAAAACACGATAACATAAGCAATGTATATGACACACGTCAATGATTGGAAAAATGCTGATTTTAGTTTATGTAATGGTGTTGTTGCATACATATTTACAGCCGTGTATGTAAACACTTTTTAAATTTTGTAATAGACATCATCACATAAACTGAATCTTCACTCCAGTGGTCATAAAAAAACCTCTCTTTCCAGAACCTCCCACACCGACAATTTGTGAATAAAACTAAATAATCCGGCAATACTCTACGAAAACCGAAGACATTACTGTATCTCTCAGCATCAGGTTGGTATCTTGCAGTCTCGTATATGGTTCAATATGATTTCTCACAGCTCTCCTGGTATCTCCGATTTTATAGAGGTATCTCACAGAAAGCTGCGCGATTACCACACAAGTCCATTTTATAAACAGCGAGGTTAATGTTGGTATCTTTCACAAATATTAAGTCGATTATCTGTACTTTTTCTCCAAATACCGGCTATCATATCTTGTCCACTTTTGCATGCGCTCGTTCGGCCATTGCGTTCATCTAAGTTGCACGTGAACATCTATGGGGAACAGCTAACTAGATCCTTACCTCTCAAAATTAACGCCATCACGTTTCGAGCACATATTCGAATCTCCAGAAATGACGTCATAATAGAATAATGTTTTATCGTAAAATAAAACACGTTACATTCTTCATTGTTCTTTGCGATTTATCATGTAGTTATCCTATATTAACCATTAAACGACAATAAGAATTTTTTTACATTAAATATACATGGATATGACAATATACTCTTTATCATCCACTGTGTGGTGCATTGGTGTAACTTCGTGGTTAAACCATTCGCTCATCCCGCCTAAGATCAAGGATCAATTCCCCACGTGGATACAATGAGACCTGAATACATTTGACTAGCCTAGTGTTTATAAAATTAGACCAGTATGATGTGAAATATTTGCTTTAATGTGAGGTGAAACGGAAGGTGAGTGAGTGACCCGATCCCCGGCCGCATCAAACCAAAAGACATCAAAGGATGGTACTTGTGGCTACCCTGCATGACGTTAGGCATTAAGCGTACAAAACAATGACTGGTCGGCTCGGAGCATACTTTATGTGAGTGAGGTATCCATGTTAAACTGTGGGCTAGCACTATAAAATCGGGCATCAGTATTTTCTTCCTCTGGTTTGTTTGGTCCATATTCGAATGCACATGTCGCTCATTAAACGACAACCAACTGGACTATTTGACACTGTAACAACCTCATTAATTCAAAGATGCGATTTACATTTGGTCTGTTGCAACCTTATGGAGTTTCTACAGGCATCATGTCGACAAGACGACGATATTCAACGTAAACAATACACGGATTTACTGATGTCAGTTTATATGCATATTTTATTTTTAATTATCCAAACAATGCGTAAATGGAGGTTTTCGACACACTTCGCAAGTTTGTCGAAAGCCAGTATGTCAAGTTTCATTTGATTTACACCACAAACGTCATTACTAGTTGTAACAAATAGCTCACAGCTCCGTTTAAGAATATCTGATTATTTCTAGAAAGTACACAATACATTTATTGGGGAAATGTCATTTGTATATGTCACTGTGATACTTGGTTGAAATCTTGAGTGGATTGTGGCTCATTCACTCATGTACTGCCCAAACTCGATTATTTACAGTCCAACGAGAAATACCAGCATTGTTCCATAAAATGTGACGTAAAACATCATTCTCTCTATTTCTCACTTTTAGTCGAACGGGTTTCCATGCTGTTACTGTAGTGAGGCTTTGGTGTAAAACACGATAACATAAGAATTGTATATGACACACGTTAATGATTGGAAAAATGCTGATTTTAGTTTATTTAATGATGTTGTTGCATACATGTTTACGTACATGTATGTAAACACTTTTTAAATTTTGTAATGGACATCATCACATAAACTGAATCTTCACTCCAGTGGTCATAAAAAATCTCTTTCCAGAACCTCCCACACCGACAATTTGTGAATAAAACTTAATAATCAGGCAATACTAGACATTACTGTATCTCTCAGCATGAGGTTGGCATCTTGCAGTCTCATATATGGTTCAATATGATTTCTCACTGCTCTCATTGCTATCTCCGATTTTATAGAGGTATCTCACAGACAGCTGCGTGATTTCTGCTGCATTGTCTGTCGGACATTCCACTATTGGTCAAACGTACACAGTTCTGATTGCTTACGTTGTCAGGTTCGCCATGTGCCCACTTCCAGACATAAGTTGAACTGTCCTCCCAGATAAACACATTGTTGACTTGCTGCATTCCAACCCAGAGAAGGTCTGACACATGCGCTGCCAAGAGAAAACTCAGTGAACTTATGAGCCACCCATGGCATCAACCACACATTCACAAGAGACCCGAATATAGTAATATAAAAATGGTCTTGGTATGGCACTGTCCTTTAATAAAAGAGACCGCGAGTCTGTAGTGAGGTTAATACTTTACTATAGACGGACACAACTTACTGACGATACTCTGATATGAGACATTTTAGCTACAGGACACTGTACAATGTATATATTGAATCTCATTCTGTGTTCATAGGTATTCTACAGAAGGTCACAGTGTACAAACGGGCACCATATACTGACCTTGACTCTGGAATGAGCTCATGAACTCCTGTTTCTCCTGACTGTTGAGGACGACAAGGCGGCCACCTTCAGAATGGCACAGATCATTTTGAGAAGCATAGTTGTTGGAGATTGATATCAACTTGTAACACAGCCGGGGAGACAACACGGACGTGTAGCCCCTGGATACAGGACATGGGTCTGGATCAGGAAGCGCTGAAAGTGAATAGCCACGTTTCTCTATCATCTTCGTTTTCATTTTGCAAAACCATCTAAATGTGTAACAGAACATGTTGGAAGTTGGTTAACAGTCTCCGGAATGTGGTGAGTATTTCAGTTAAATAACGGCTTGTCAACAGTGTGGAAGTGACGTAGGTCAGAGACGTTCAGACAAGTAAATTAATGGTGCTGACAAACCTAATTACATAATCAGACGAATCTGTGTTTTTGAAACCATGATCATTCATATTTGTCATGTACCACACAGTGGGTAATTGAGTGAGTATGGTTTAACGCCGCTTCTAGCAATGTCATGGTGGGGGGACACCGGAAAATGGCCTGCACACATTGTACCCATTTGGGGAATCCAACTAGGGTCTTTAGGCGTGACGAGCCAAAGCTTTAACCACTAGACCACCCCACCGCCCCCATGTACCACACAGCGAATATTCCACCACCTTTGACGACTGGGCCACTCCTCCCTATTTCCAGAAGGTACTGATGTGGATTGTCCTACATTACTGCAATTGTCCGATAAATCCCGAACACTAACTAATCATGTCTACACCCAGAAACCCATTGAATGACAAAATGAGGAATGAATGATCACCGCCATCGGGACACGATGCCATGACTTGAGTGACCATATAAAACAATTTAGTGGCCTCTAGCTGACCAACAATTGTGTATTCTTATCTGGTATCTGGGTCATAATTGAAAAAATATACATTGCAGTAGTTAAATCACAATGGTTATCGTTATAAGTGACAGTATTTATTAAGTTTGGATGTAAATCGACTGGAGTACCAAAATTGAAACAAATTACATGATACTACAGTAGTCACAACGTTCACATTGCATGAACATACATCAGGTTAAAAAGTCCTCTTTATAGATGTTAAATTAAACATAAACTCAAATTATAATAGTCATGGCATCAGCCTTAGCTTCCATGAAATTACAGTTCTTGAAACACATAGAGGTTTTTTTTATTTACTTCTGTCAAGGTGTTTCCTATTCTGGTATAATCATAAATTATGTCTCCCTGCACAAACACAAGATGGCAGCAATTGTTGAATCAGTGTTCAATGTCTAAATTGCCACTACAAGTGTCCTATGATCTCACCTCCTGCCTTGATGAAGTGCTTGGCTCCAGGGAATGATTTCGCAGATGACGTGAGAGTAGATCTGTACATGTTGCAGTTTCCACCAAGGTAGGTGACAGCAGCACAGAGTCCGTCCTGGGCACAGAGACCAGCACAGGTCCTTTCATCAAGAGATGTCTGTATGCTGGAGGGATGTTCCCGTGCCTGTAAACCTTCCAGTGTTATTTGTCTCTCAAAACGATGCCTGAAATCGCCGTTTCCTGCATACGCGACTGGGATGAAGCCAATGACCAGACACAACACAGCGTTCATCTTGCTTCAGTGTAACACGACAGTTACTGCAGTGTGTTATGACATCTGTTACCAATGTAATTAGATGTATACTATATTATTCAGGTTAATTCAGTGCAACCAGGATGTTTTCTCCAAATATCATGTTCCAAAGACAATCTTGAAATGTTAATGCGGTCACAGTGGATTTATTCAAAAGACATCGATTGGACAACGAATGTTTATTATTTTGTATCACTACCGTGAAATAAATGTTCAATCAGCTGTAAGAAAATATTATAGATTTATTCCAGGTTGGTCAATAGAGGCAGGTATTACTCTGAAAACTAATTCAATCTGGTCTCCTCATTATCAACGGTCTGTTCAACATCCATTCCTTTTACCGTTAAATAAAGAATATTTTCGAGTTTGTTAACCAATTTCGACTCGTATACTTAACGACCCGTGCAGATTCGGGGTAGAATAGATCTTCAGAATAAGTAACAGACAGTTAATAATGAGGCACCCTAACTTAACTAGTTTGCATACAATTTCCAGACGGCGCTTATAGTTTAAAGAAAGTTTAATTCAAAGGTAGTGATACATAGAGAATCTCACCCAAGTGTCTTTTGATATCAAATATATTAATGAGTGTTGATATTTTTTATGTCAAAAGACACGAGGGTGAGATTTTATTTATCATCCAACAGCATTCTTCCACCTTTTTCAGTTTGTATACGACCCGTGAAGATTCCAGGGTAGAATAGGTCTTCAGCAACCCATGCTTGCCGTAAAACGTGACTATGCTTGTCGTAAGAGGCGACTAACGGGATCCCGTGGTCAGGCTCGCTGACTTGGTTGATACATGTCATCGATCCCAATGGGCATGATATTAATCACTGGATTGTCTGGTCAAGACTCGTTTATTTACAGACCGCTGGAATATTGCTGAGTGCGGCGTAAAACAACAAACCAACCAGCCAACCATCATATACTTAACTATATGTTACTCCTTAATTAGAGGAGGTCACATTTCTCAAAACTTCGCTTAAATAATAACAAACTAAAAATTAAAAATGGTAAATACACAAAATCACCAACCCCATAAAACTTGGAGGACGCAACGAGTCGTTTATTTCGTATTTGAAATATCAGTATTATGTGCATCTTCCTTAAGGATTCTAATAAAATGTTCAAGATTTAAAATATTTACCCGTATCTAATTAATGATGGCTCCCTGCATAAAATCCGACCGCGGCAATGTAGCACAAGTCTATTAAGTCGTGTATCTGTACTTTTTCTCCAAATAGCGTCTCTCATATCTTGTCCACTTTTGCATGCGATCGTTCGGCCATTGCGTTCATCTAAGTTGCACAGGAACATCTATGGGGAACAACTTACTAGATCCTTTCCTCTCAAAATTAACGCCATCACGTTTCGAGCACATATTCGAATCTCCAGAAATGACGTCATAATAGAACAATATTTTATCGTAAAATATAACACACTTCGTTCTTCGTTGTTCTTTGCGATTTATCACGTAGTTATCTTATATAAACCATTCAATGACAATAAGAATTTTTTTACATTAAATATACATAGATATGACATTGAACTCTTTATCATCAACTGTGTGGTGCATTGGTGTAACTTCGTGGTTAAACTATTTGCTCATCCCGCCTGAGATCCAGGATGAATTCCCCTCGTGTTTACAAAATTAGACCAACATGATGTAAAATATTTGCTTTTAAGTGAGGAGAGACGGAAGGTGAGTGACCCGATATCTGGCCGCATGAAACCAAAAAAACGTCAAAGGATGGTACTTGTTGCTACCCTGCATGACGTTAGGCATTAAGCGCATAAAACAAGGACTGGTCGGCTCGGAGCATACTTTATCTGAGTGAGGTATCCATGTTAAACTGTGGGCTAGCACTATAAAATCGGGTATTAGCATTTTCTACCTCTGGTTTGTCTGGTCCAGATTGGAATGCATATGTCTCTCATTAAACGACAACCAACTGGACCTTTTGACACTGTAACAACCTCATTAATTCAAAGATGCGATTTAGAATTGGTCTACTGCAACCTACGGAAGAGGCAACTATGCTTGTATTAGAGAAGCTACGAACGGGATCAGGTAATCAGGTTCGCTGACTTTGTTGATGCATGCCATCGTATCCTATTTGGGTGGATCGATGCTCATGGGGGTTAATCACTAGATTGTCTGGTCCAGATTCGATTGTTGGCAGATCACCATCTCATAGCTGGAATATTTCTGAATGCTGTGTTAAAGAACAACCAATCAAATAAAAATAGTCAAAGTCCTCAGGACCTTTGAAATTATAGAGTCAACCTTGATTGAACTCTGTATAAGGCAATATTTCTTTTGGCATTAAACGTAAACAATATATGGATTTACTGATGCCAGTGTATATACATATTTTATTTTCAATTATCTAATCAATACGTATTGGACATTTTTGACATACTTTGCAGATTTTCCGATAGCCATTATGTCAAGTTTCATTTCATTTAAAGCACAAACGTCATTACTAGATGTAACAAATCGCTCACAGCTCCGTTTAAGAATATCCGATTGTTTTGAGAAAGTACACAATACATTTATTGGGGAAATGTCATTTGTATATGTCACTGTGATGGTTGGTTGAAATCTTGAGTGGATTGTGGCTCATTTACTCATGCACTGCCCAAACTCGATTATTTACAGTCCAATGAGATAAAGCAGCATTGTTCCATAAAATGTGGCGTAAAACATCATTCACTCTATTTCTCACTTTAAGTAGAACGGGTTTCCATTCTAGATCTGTTCCTGTAGTGAGGCTTTGGTGTAAAACACGATAACATAAGCAATGTATATGACACACGTCAATGATCAGAAAAATGCTGATTTTAGTTTATGTAATGGTGTTGTTGCATACATATTTACAGCCATGTATGTAAACACTTTTTAAATTTTGTAATAGACATCATCACATCAACTGAATCTTCACTCCAGTGGTCATAAAAAAACTCTCTTTCCAGAAACTCCCACACCGACAATTTGTGAATTAAACTAAATAATCCGGCAATACTCTACGAAAACCGAAGACATTACTGTATCTCTCAGCATCAGGTTGGTATCTTGCAGTCTCGTATATGGTTCAATATGATTTCTCACTGCTCTCCTGGTATCTCCGATTTTATAGAGGTATCTCACAGACAGCTGCGCGATTACCACACAAGTCCATTTTATAAACAGCGAGGTTAATGTTGGTATCTTTCACAAATATTAAGTCGATTATCTGTACTTTTTCTCCAAATACCGGCTATCATATCTTGTCCACTTTTGCATGCGATCGTTCGGCCATTGCGTTCATCTAAGTTGCACAGGAACATCTATGGGGAACAGCTAACTAGATCCTTACCTCTCAAAATTAACGCCATCACGTTTCGAGCACATATTCGAATCTCCAGAAATGACGTCATAATAGAATAATGTTTTATCGTAAAATAAAACACGTTACGTTCTTCATTGTTCTTTGCGATTTATCATGTAGTTATCTTATATAAACCATTAAATGACAATAAGAATTTTTTTACATTAGATATACATGGATATGACAATGTACTCTTTATCATCCACTGTGTGGTGCATTGGTGTAACCTAGTGGTTAAACCATTCGCTTATCCCGCCTTAGATCAAGGATCAATTCCCCACGTGGATACAATGAGACCTGAATACATTGGACTAGCCTCGTGTTTATAAAATTAGACCAACATGATGTGAAATATTTGCTTTAATGTGATGTGAGACGGAAGGTGAGTGAGTGACCCGATCCCCGGCCGCATCAAACCAAAAGACATCAAAGGATGGTACTTGTGGCTACCCTGCATGACGTTAGGCATTAAGCGTAGAAAACAAGGACTGGTCGGCTCGGAGCATACTTTATGTGAGTGAGGTATCCATGTTAAACTGTGGGCTAGCACTATAAAATCGGGCATCAGTATTTTCTTCCTCTGGTTTGTTTGGTCCAGATTCGAATGCATATGTCGCTCATTAAACGACAACCAACTGGACTATTTGACACTGTAACAACCTCATTAATTCAAAGATGCGATTTACATTTGGTCTGCTGCAACCTACGGAGTTTTTACAGGCATCATGTCGACAAGACGACGATATTCAACGTAAACAATACAAGGATTCACCGATGTCAGTTTATATGCATATTTTATTTTTAATTATCCAAACAATGCGTAATTGGAGGTTTTCGACACACTTCGCAGATTTGCCGAAAGACATTATGTCAAGTTTCATTTTATTTAAACCACAAACCGCATTACTAGTTGCAACAAATAGCTCACAGCTCCGTTTAAGAATATCTGATTATTTCTAGAAAGTACACAATACATTTATTGGGGAAATGTCATTTGTATATGTCACTGTGATACTTGGTTGAAGTCTTTAGTGGATTGTGGCTCATTCACTCATGTACTGCCCAAACTCGATTATTTACAGTCCAACGAGAAATACCAGCAATGTTCCATAGAATGTGGCGTAAAACACCATTCACTCTATTTCTCACTTTTAGTCGAACAGGTTTCCATACTGTTCCTGTAGTGAGGCTTTGGTGTAAAACACGATAACATAAGCAATGTATATGACACACGTTCATCATCGGAAAAATGCTGATTTTAGTTAATGTAATCATGTTGTTGCATACATATTTACAGCCATGTATGTCAACACTTTTTAAATTTTGTAATGGACATCATCACATCAACTGAATCTTCACTCCAGTGGTCATAAAAAACTCTCTTTCAAGAACCTCCCACACCAACAATTTGTGAATAAAACTAAATAATCCGGCAATACTCTACGAAAAACCGAAGACATTACTGTATCTCTCAGCATCAGGTTGGTATCTTGCAGTCTCATATATGGTTCAATATGATTTCTCACTGCTCTCCTGGTATCTCCGATTTTATAGAGGTATCTCACAGACAGCTGCGCGATTACAACACAAGTCCATTTTATAAACAGCGAGGTTAATGTTGGTATCTTTCACAAATAT